ATCCTCCATTTTATGAGTATCAGGAGTTATGGACAGATTTCCACAAATAACATAAAATATGTGTACCATTCGGCGAACGGGGTTATAACTGATTTAAGCCTAGGTTTCCTTTCCGTCCGCCTCATGATTGTAGTTTTCTTGAATTTTTATTATTAAAAAATCCTAAATTTAAAAACCATTTTTGAAATCGAAATGTAATATTGAAAATGTTTTTGACAATTTGCTTTACAAACAATAAAGAAAAAAGTTTAATACCATACGATTGTCGCACCTTATTAAATACACCATGGCCTATATAAGGTCGGCCAGTAAGCGAATTCATAGAGAAAACTAGTTGTTTCCCCTTTAAATAAAAAACACATCCAAAACACAACACATTTTATAATACAATATTTTCTAAAGCTGAACATTGCCCTCAATAGTTCCGTTCCAGAACCTAAAAGAATCTACTAATTTTACAAGTTTTGCAACTTTTTACTCGAACCCACAAAACTGGTAAAACATTGAATCAAATTTAAGAGAGCACAAAGCAAAACGGCATTCTCTTTGTAAACTTTTTACTCGAGAAATTTGGCCGAGTAAAAATGCTAAACAGGAATGCCTACTTCTGATTGGCTGTTATGTTAATTTTGAAGTATTGCCATTTAATTTTGGCATATTTACCAAATTTGCGTTCCCGAACTTTTCAAACTATTTTGTACTCTGAGAGCGATTCTGAAATGTTTCCCTTTTACTAGCTTTACTATTAAAAAAGTACTGGAACAGACCAAATATTTAACCATGATTGTTACAACTTATATTTATAAGTTTTAGAGGCAGGGAATTTCAAAATATTTGTAGATATAAATGATTTAGCAATTTTTGTCACTGAAAACATGATATGCCTACATTTTGAAGGAAGATATTTTCATTTAAAATTTGAAAGCTGAATGCAGCCAAAGGCAAATTTATGAAAAAATTGGATACATATGACTGCGTTAGACTTCCTTGTATAATTGTGCCATGAAAATTATCCTGATAGTACGTTTACATTTAACCGGTTTTCGTTAACCCATGTATATATGTCAAATAAATCCTCATAAAGTAGGTTAACACGGTAAGAAGTTCTAATGTATATGCCGTTTAAAATACACAAAATGTTTATCAAATGTGATGAAAAGGCAATTATTTATTAAAATAAAATCAGTGCTGTGTTTAAATTTTGTTGTGCGCAAATAAATAGAAAATTTTCAAAGATATTTTCGCTATAACAACAGCTTTTGACAGAAAATGTGGATACATCCCAAGTCTCTATCAAAGCCTCTACATGGCATAATTAATTAATTATGCCATTGGTCTCTATTAACATTTGGTCTATACTGGGCCCCGATGTATGGCCCAATTCCAATTAACAGTCATCCTTGTGGAGTGACCAGCGGTTAATTTACAGCGACTGTATTTTTGGATGCACAATATTCAACAGGTTGTTTTGTTTATTTGACATATTTTTAAAATTTTATTAAATACAATATTGCAAAAAATGAATGGAATGTCAAGTTTTTCACAATATGGGCTTGCAAATATGATTATAATAAGTATTGTTCCTAAATACTACACGTTATGCCATGTTCTGACGGGCATTCGAACAACGTAGTTCGCTCTCAGAATTACGTACATGAATTAACCCGTTCATACAACACTACTCCTAATTCATGTCATCATAGTTTTTTATTTCAAACTTTTTGTTTCTTGTTTTACACCAAAATTCTAACATATTTGCATGAATCACATATGGATTTGAATAGAAAAATTAATTGTCTTTCTCCTGACTATATTAAGAACCCATATCTATTTACTTTTAATTCACGTTTTCCATTTTTTCTGAAAATATTGTTGTTTTCATACATTTTTATATTTTCTAAATTCAAATGTCACATATAAAAGTTTGGAGAATTTTTTGTTTGAGTGTCCCCAAATTTGTTTCTTGTTTTGTACGATAATTAGAACCATGGGGAAAGAAATTCACATTGCATTATGTAGATAACAAAATTTACATCCTGCTGCATATATAAAAACTAGACAATTTTTTACTTTTCATTCATCATTTTCAATATTACTAAAAAAGGTTGAAAATTTTATAAATATTTTCAAGCTGTCAAAATTAATTTATTTTCGATAAATGCTCTCAGTTGTTAGGGATGGGACAAATTTCTTGGTGATTCAGAGAGTGATTCGAATTGAACAACGTACAAAAGTCGGTGTTCGCTCAGACAATTTTGTATGGGGAACTAAGTGATTACTTCATAATTAAGGGTCGAACAACGAATGAGAGAGCGAACAACGCTCGTCTGTACATGGCATTACAAACACATTTACAAATTGAGTATTTTTTTGACAGAACAGGGGCACACCAACCTAACTCTTGTTATTATTGAACCATGATTGGCAATTTTTCTCAAAAGATGTTAGTATCTTGTTGTAAATTTTATTGATAAAGTCTATAACTAATTGATGAAATCTAATCTATATTCGCTTGGCCAAAACAAATACAACTACATATATCTTGCCTAAACATAAATTATATTTTAGGGTTCTTGAGTGTTGAGATTTAAATAAATGTTTAACACAAAACATTGCAACATATCGCCACAACTGCTAATAAAAATTACACGTGAAAAATTCGGGTTGGTGGATGCGATTATTCAATTTTAAAATCGCAAATAGAGATGTCTAAAGAATATCAAGTTCCTGATGTTGAATGTCACGAATAGTAAAATAAGTATAAAGCCACAAAACATGATCCATCAAGTAACACGTTCAAGATTCAAAAACCAACGAAAAGAAAAATTGATCTTGCAAAAAAATCATAATAGCCTTAATTAAAAATTTTAGATCGGTTTGGGATGTTAGAGTTCCATTTAATAACTTGTACTATCAGTAGCATATATAAGTAGACCTCGGATTTTTGCATATTTTTTATGCTTTATCCGATTGGACTCAAATTTTGTATTTAGGCGTTTCATGCTCCAATTGATAGATGTTTGGAGTCATGTTAAAAATATGGAAAATATATGCAAAAAATATGCAAAATATATGCAAAATATATGCAAAAAATATGCAAAATATATGCAAAAAATATGCTGGGTCGATTTGCGATAAATATGCAAAATATATGCAAAAAATATGCAAAATATAGGGAAAAATATGCAAAACTATATAAAATCTGCAAAAAATATGCCAAAAATGCAAAAATATTCACGGTATGCTAGGTCGATATGCGATAAATATGCAAAAAATACAAAATATGCAAAAATATGCAAAATATAGGCAAAAATATGCAGAATATGCAAAAATATGCAGAATATGCAAAAATATACAAAATATAGGCAAAAATATAAAAAATATGCAATATATGCAAAAATATGCAAAAATATACAAAATGTGCAAAATATAGGCAAAAATATGCAAAAATATGCACGGTATGCTAGGTCGATATGCGATAAATATGCTAAATATAGGCAAAAATATGCACAGTATGCTAGGTCGCAATATTAAAGATAGAACTTTGAAATTTTACACATATATTATTATTACTTCTAGGATGTTTGGTATTGGAAATGGGATATATCGGTCCACGTTGTAGTATATCCCCATATAACTGTTCATATATGTTTGCATGTTTTATACATATATTTAGCAAATTTTTCATAATGCCCCAAATATCTAACAGTTGAACCATTAAACGCATACATACAAAATTTGATTTCTATAGCTTAAAAATAAAGAAAGCACACAAATTCGAGGTCTATTTTATAAAAAATTAAAAAATTACCATGATTAAAATGATTGCATATGTGAAATATGTTGCTCATATTTGCATATTTTTGCCTATATTTTGCATATTTATTGCATATCGACCTAGCATACCGTGGATAATTTCTGCATATTCTGCATATTTTGGCATATTTTGAACATTTTTGCCTATATTTTGCATATTCTGCATATTTTTGCATATTCTGCATATTTTTGCTTGCATATTTTGCATATTCTGCATATTTTTGCCTATATTTTGCATATTCTGCATATTTTTGCATATTTTGCAAAATTTTTGAATATTTTGCATATTCTGCATATTTATCGCATATCGACCTAGGATACCATATTGACCTAGCATACCGTGCATATTTTTTGCAAATTTGGATATTTTTGCATATTTTTTCATATTTTCCATATTTTTGCCTTTATTTTGCATATTTGTTGCATATATTTATCGCATATCGACCTAGCATACCGTGCATATTTTGCATATTTCGTGCATATGCATTATATGCAAAAAATTAAAAAAATATGAACCCTTCAAATAATTCTAAATCCTTTGAAACGAATTTGTGTCCAATCAGAATTTTGATATCTTCATTAAAAATATGCAAAATCCGAGGTCTATATATAAGAAAAAAAAAAACAATGAATTTCTTCTAGAAACACCATTTATCCAGTTTTGTCCACATTTATCCTTTGATTTAATGTCAATTTTCTGGAATTAAAATTATAGTAGGAGGTAATAAATCAAGAAGCAAGTAAGTATTATGGAATAACAGGGATTATAAAAAAGGAACAATCGATGTGGTAATTTTCTAGGTGCTATTTTTATATATGTATATAAGAGTATATAAAGAGTTTTCAAAACTCTTTGATTCGTAAACCGATGAAAAGTTGTTTAATGCTGCTTTAAGAATTTTTAATCATGTTGATACTTTAGCACATTCCTCGACTGCTCATTTGTCAGCAACGAATTTTGCTGTTTCTTCAATTTAAACTATTCACGTATCGATCTAATCTAATACGCTAATCTGGTGGAAGTTTTTCCCTTAACCCTTGCATTTCCAGAAGGCGATGAACGACGGAAAAAATGAACCATGTCCATTAAAATACTCATACGTTAACTTTTAGATTGTCCGGCTATGCAATTTACATATAAATCACATTGCCTGACTAGCGAAAGAACCAACATTTCTACTTACTTTTGTAATAATTCCATTAGAAAGCTATTAGCGGCCTGTGACCACTCTTTCTCGGCAGGGACGATGTCGGCTATGGCACAGCGCACTGCGGCAAATGGAATTCTCATATGTGATTCGCGAACAACGCACAATCTAAAAAAAAAAAATAACATGCAATGACTGTAGAACAAGTAAAAAGCAATAAGAAACACAAATGTATCAGCGATATCATACTTATCTGGCGAAGTTTCCAAATTTAGTCCAAAATCAATAAGGAAGATTCTGTACACATCATTAGGAAGTATTTTCTTTAACATACCGCGATACCACTGTTTATCTGTGCTGTGATAGACCATGTAGTAGTAGCCGATGGTTAAATCTTTTGGTATGCACACAGTTTGCTCGCCATCAAGATATGCTTGTGATAGCTGTCGAATCATCTCAATATCGCTAACTTTTTGAATGTAAAAATTATCAGGAGTTTCCACATGTGTTACGCGAACCAGATTTTCGTCTGTTACACTATTGCTTAAGGTATTGTTCTCAACTGGCATTGACGTATTTTTAACGGAAACAATTTGGAATACGTCATTTGGCTTTTCAGGTCGTTCTTTACATTTTGCTTTTGGTTTCTTACTTTTTTGGCTTGGATTTTCCGGGTGTTGTGATTTGTGTTGAGAAATAGTCCTAGACATCGATGTATCGCAGCTGGTAGATGTCGACGAGTCCACGTTTGAAGTCTCGGGTATTGAAATGTTTGAGTCATCATTTAGACATCGAATATCTATTGTAAGTTTTGGTCCATCAAAACTACACTTAATACACTGGTCTAAGTCTGGCTGGCTCGGGTGGATCTCAAAACTAAAATCGATATCAAACGAAATAGTCATCATTCGATATTTAAAGAGGTATACTTACTGGAATGGATTGGTCCGTATCTTAGTGAGTTGTACTTGGTAAGGCATTTGATACAACCTGTCGTTGTACCTTTGAAGCAGCTTGCCCACATGAACGAATGGAGGTAAGGTACGCTGATAAAATTCTAAACTGTCACGCATTGCCTGGAAAGAAGTCAAACAAAATATTAAAATAAACCCTACCTAGGTAACGATGTGAACATACGCACATTTAGCGTTTCGCTGGAGTCATTAAAAGTTACGAGGGCTTGTCTTAACAAAAATTGCGGTTGCTGGCATTGTTCTGCAAACTTGTCCAAAATTTCCTTCTCCTTATTTTGCAGATAACTATGAAGTCTGAGGAAGTAGTCGGAAATATCTTCAACTGTTTTGGTGGCAAATTCTTCCAGTTTTGTCTCCATGCTTTTGATATCCTGCGTAAATATAATTATATCACCAATATAAAAAATTGCTTGTATTTTTTGTGTGTTTTTACATTATAAACTATGTACCTAACAAATCAGTAAGTAAATTCCTGCTCGAGCTGGCAATACAGGCCAATACGAGCTGGATATACATGGAATTTTATTGCAACAGAAAATGACCGATACCACAAGTGATAGGGATTTGGCGGCATGCAATTTTTTATTAAACTCAACCGATCTATTAGGTTGGGGAAAAATCCATTATTTTTATATAAAACTATAGGACTTTATTTAACATGCTTCGGAATGTCCGATTTGGGCCAAATATGCACCGCTTTTTTGTATGGTTTGTTATCATTTTTAAGGTAACTTCATAATACCTCTCTGATAGAAGTTCTGCCCTCTATTTGCAAAAAACTCTAGTAGTGGATTTCACAAACATCCATAGATACCAATTTTGCATTAAAACTTCCCAACCAAGCTCCTGAAGATTGTTGCGAGTCACTGTAGATGTGTGTGGCCTAGCGTTGTCCTTGTGGAACACGACACCTCTCCTGTTGGCCATTTCTGTAATTCACAACTGAATACACCAAACAAAAAACAACATAATATTTCTTTTTATTGCGCAATGTCACCATTCCAACGAGCATAAATCTGAAATTGTTTGATCGATACTTTACCAGAAATCTATCAGTACAGACATCTGCCGAAAACATAATGGATTTCTTTTTCCTTAAAAAAAAAGTAATTGTTAGGATAGTTTCAACGATGTACAGCAGCAGACAGTAAAAAATAATAAAAACTCATCAAAGAAAAGGACAAGCAGCTTAAGAATTGTCAAAAAAGGATACCCTAGGCCTATGTTCTGCCTTACATTGGATATTACGAACTGATTTGCTTTGTTCCTACTAGTTCGCTATAACCGGATTTGACTACAGTGGTGATTAAAAGTGTATGAATGTTGGCAATTTCCTCTCTTCAAACTGTGCGACAAATTTCAATTTTTTGATAATTACCGGGAAATTCGAACAGATTATGAAAGAGGGGCTAAAAAAAGAAGACACGTGTATCGGCGTTTTGAATGTTTACGCCTCTTTTCAAGAATTTCGATATTTTCGAATTATGATTTCTTGAAATCCTTGCTTTTTAGGTATATAGTGTCTTCGGCAATATTGCTAATAAAATATCGAGGAATATATCAACTTTAACCCTCAACCGCCTCGTTAAAGGCGTCTTTTCGGTCCCCTTTTCCCAGAAGTGCTTAAAAACTCATTCAAATCGTTATTTCTTACACTTTTGCACGTATAAGAAAAATCAAAATATTAAGCGATTATTTTGTCCACAATCTTTGCTCTTTTCTTTTTCTAGTAGGCCGTGTAAAAGCTGTATTTAAAATAACACAACAATAAGGAAAATGCAAGTGTTGAATTTCAAATGCGAACAATAACAAAAAATTACATTTTCCCCATATTGCATTTGAGATTGTAAAAAAATAATAGCCTAATTTTATATACGGAGACGCATTTTTGTGATACGAAATAAAAATTTATGTTTTTTTATAATGTCGCTTACATTAAAAGATTTCATATTTTTTTTTTTTGAAAGGACTTTTTGGCGGGTTAATTCGGCCATTTTCGGCATGTCCGGCATAAAATAGAAAAAATCGATTTTGCAGAAAATGCGTTTTAAGTTTTAAATTTACTCTCTCCCTACAATGGACAGAGGAACTTCTACAGCTTCTCAATCAGAGTGTGAAAGAGAAATTCAGATGATTTACTTTACACAACAAAAAGTCTGGTATTGAGAACAATTCTGCGCCATTAACTAAAAAAACCCCATTTTTTTATCTATTCCTGTCTTGCAGAAAGAAAAAAATGTATTTAATGAAATAGAAAATTAATGTTCTTAATCTGTTTCCTTTAATACCCTCCACCACAAGGTGGAGTGAATATTAAATTTGGCATTCCGTTTACAAAACCTCATAATATTTACCGGAGATCCCATAAAGTATAACCCCCATGGAATAATTTATTTTTAGTAATAATAATTTAATAATTTATTTTTAGTAAAAGCCTATTAAATCATAGAAATCGGAATTTGGTGTCCAAATACCAAAAATTTTATCTAAACAAATTTTTGTTTTGAAATTTGACAAGTTGATTAAGAAAAACTAAAATATTGTTGAAAATAGTAATATAACAGTATATAAAGGCTAAAGACCATGGCACAATTATAAAAGGTAACAGCAAATCCCAGCTGATTTGATTCCAACGTAATACTAGTGTCAATATGAATTTGACAAATTATGTTTTTAAAAATCACCCAAGAGGAAAATTGGGAACGCATACAATTTGAAATTGTTCTTTTTTAAATATGCTCCGGTATTCAATTTACTCAATCTGCCTGCTGGGAAAGTTTGAGGAAGTAAATCTTTCTTCATGGAATAACTCGCAATTCGCTGCATTTTCATATGTGTTACACATATAAGTGGCAATGGCTCAATTATAGGAATGATGTGGAAGCGATAGAAATATAAATTTGATAGATTTTCATTCATGTTTTTCAATTTTTATTTTGAGGATTCAAAAATATTTCATTTTCAAAATAAAAATAATTTGATGATAATTTGTTTGTTTGTTTACATTTTTTCTGTCAAATGAGTTGACACTAGTAGAACTTACAACAACAAATTTCCATGTGGTTGTAGTATCGTTTGTTGTACAACAACACTTGCTGTTACCTTCTATTATTATACCATGGCTAAAGACTTGGAATGTGATTTGTTCACATTTTTCATAAACACAAGAAACAAAATATTAACCATAGTGAAGAATATTCCAAAATACGTAAACTTATCCATACCACTTGGAATTCTACAAGAAATGGTCATACTGTTACCTCGAAACGGACATTGCAGAAATGTAATCAAAGTGAAGAACATCTGATTATGTATTAAAAATTTTCTTCAATTCAGTTCAAGACCGAACCCTAATTTTGATTAATCTATCTATCGTATGTCAGTATTATTTTCACATCATTTCCCACATATCGATAAAGCATAATTATTTTTATATTTATAGTTTGGTTTTATACAACATTTCGAGTGGTACGTCTGTATCGAAAACATCGTATATACACGCATGCGTATTCGTATACTGTAACTTTATAAATGAAACCAGTTTCAGAGTGAATAATGTTTCATCTGAACGAAAAGCTTTGTTGATTCAACACAGCATTATTGCGAGTGATCTAAGCTTAATACAGAGTTTGATTTAGACACCGTCCGTCAATAAGCTCAGTAGTTGTTTAGTCGTTGAACGTTGCATACTACAGACACGGTCGTTTTTCGTGTGGACCCATTTTTTGGCATTCGAAACCTTTTTAGGCGTTTTAAAATATTGAGTAATAGTTCTTTATTGTTTTATTTCAAATGTGCATTGTATGCTGAACGAGGGTGAGAGAACGACTTACAACATTTGTTTGCTGTTATTTAGGAGATTTAGTGCAAATCGCTACACCGTTTTATAAAACAATTTGGAAATACACATACCGATCAGAATATTTTCATATCGAAATGCAAACGAAATGCGTACTGTAAATAAAATAAAAATCAAAAGGAAATATTGAAATATCACAACCTTGTTTATCATTTTGAAAGTGTTGGTGAATTTAGCAAAAGGTCATACTTGAAAAAAACTACAAATATGAAATAATAGCAACAGCAATCTAACCACAGACATAGTATGTATGTATGTACATATCGTGCTTAATTATAACTAAACAATCGAAAATAAAAAGTGACTACACACAACAAATAACCCAAAAGTACATACAACAACAGCATAAACAAGCCCAAAATATTTGCCTAGAGAAATCCATCCAGGTATTGGAGTAGAAACGTTCGACACCACCACACTCGTACTGTTTGTGAACAAACGTGTTTCCACCACAAGACGGGGCGCGCAACGCCTTTGTTGAACATCAACAACATTTGGCTCTGACGACAAGCACAGCACCAGCAACGTAAACGACCAAAGAGCCTCCATCATTGAAGTGGCTTGCCTCTCTAGATTCGCACGTTCGTCATTCAGCTGTGCTACACACGACGACGACGACCGTCCTTCATTGTTGTATTGGACAAAACCCGTACTACCCACCATATGATCGCAGCCAAGCGAACATTCTCTGGCATACATTTAAAACATAGCCAAATAGGAGTGGTATATATCCTCTTCGTCTCAGCACTAGAACACACACTTTCAGCAAAGGCTGAGATGTTTGTATTTGTTAATCGTCTTCCATGTCCAACTTGGTCTAGTGTGAACTGTTCGAAACAACCCGACCAACCCAGCTGTGGATACAGTGCTCTGTTATAAACGAACAAAAATAATATATGTATTTCCAGGTGATGTGTTGCATAATTCCGAATTGTGCCACAGGAAATTTGTGTGATAATAAAGAATAAAAATCCCGTACTAAACCCACCAACGAAAATTAGGCAACACTAAACCACTCGCACATGGCATAGCTGTTTGTAAGGGGTTCGGAAATTTGTTTGTTACTCCAATTTATCTGTAAATTCGTTTGCGATCTCCTCCTAAAACATAATTATATAATAAATAAAAAAAGTGAAATTAGTTTGCAATACTGGTGTCGCAAAAATCTGCAGTAGTCAACATGCTGCCTCGGATATATATGATGCTTTTTGTGCTGTTTGGATTTCTTCTAATTACCGGTAAGTGGATTCGATTTGACAATAACAAAAACCGAACAGCGGATACATAAATGTTGCGCATCCGCAATGTGATGTAAAAGTAGATTGTAAACTGTATTTGCTTATTTAGATTTTTAAGATTACATTCGGGCATGTGTTTGTAAAAGTGCGCGAGGTTTTTGCTAGCAAACGTTTTAAAGTCAATAGTGATTGACTCATATGAATGTTGAATGAAGATCTCGTGCTCTTAAATTTTGTGGAATATCTGTACGTCAACAAATTTGATCAAAAAGTCATTGGGTACAAAAAATCATTAATAATTGTAATTAATTGTAACACAGTCGACTCCGCTTTACTGAAATGGAAAAAATCTGGATGTTTGTTTCAGTTATCCGATGTTTTCACTTAAGCGGAGTTCGGTTAACTGAACATAATTTCAGTTATCTGATATTTTCAGTTATGCGAAGTTTCACTTATGCGGTGTAAATTGTGAGCGATTATCCTAAAATGTAATGGTGCAGGAAATCAATTTCACTTATTCGATATTTTTCAGTTAAGCGACTTACAGTAAAGCGGAGTCGACTGTAATACATATACATTGTACTGGATTTCGTTAACCCTGTTGGTTTACATTATATATGCATATACACTGGTGGCCAAAACTAAAGCAACTAAAATTGCAAGGTTAATAAAAGCCGTACAAGTTTTTTCAAAAATAAATATATCGTATTGTTTTTCCAGTTTTAAATCGGGTACTTTATTCACTTAAAAAAAAACAAAAGCATTAATGTAAAATTAATTATGAAGTAAATAATAATTTATGGATAAGGGAATTGTCTCAATATTTCCTTGGACAAAACTAAAGGAAATCTATGAGCTTAAGAAACATATGAGCTGCCGTTTTTATTTTGACTTACTGCCAAAAATATAAAAATGGCTAGAAACAAATAAAGTACTCCGATAAAGCAGCTAATTACCAATTAATAATTTATCACAGAAAATGATTTCGGAGAAATATTCCATGAATAAATCTGTGATTCCTCGCATTATAAGTTGATTTTATGCAACTATATCAGTAGTGGCAGTTCAGCATGGAGGAAGGCTGCAAAAGAACATCAGTTCTTACTGATCAACAAATTGTCATTGTAGAGAAAAATACCCATTCAAGAGTTCAACCGAATATGTGAGACGGTTATCGTTCGATATAACATCAAGAACAGAGCGTGGATGAGCTTTTGTAGCACGCCTACATGCCCGGAAACTATCAAGAAATTTATTTAATTTCTGGAAAGAATAGCAAAAGCTTATATTGATTAGAATCCGACTCAGTGGAGAAATATTATGCTCTCGGATTAATTAAAAAAAATTACCGTGAGAAAGTGAACAAATGAAAGGCTCGTGTCACCGTATTGCAAGGGTACTGGGAAGTATGAAGGAGGTTCGATAATGGTATTGAGGGGTTAAGGCTGGCAAAAATCTTTTTTAAAAATCCAGGCCTATTGAGGAGTTAACGCTGGCAAAAATCTTCTTTAAAAATCCACGCCTATTGAGGGGTTAAGGCTGGCAAAAATCTTCTTTAAAAATCCACGCCTATTGAGGGGTTAAGGCTGGCAAAAATCTTTTTTAAAAATCCACGCCTATTGAGGGGTTAAGGCTGGCAAAAATCTTGGTCTGTTCCAATACTTTTTCTAATAGTTAATCTAGTAGAAGGGAAAAATGTCAAAATCTCTCACAGAGTAGGAAATAATACGAACAGTTTTGGAACGAAAAACTAGTAAAAACGTCACATTAGATGGTAATACTTCAAAATCAACACAACAGTCAATTAGAACTTTATCATTCAAAATTCTTTTCAATTTTATCGATCTTCGATTAAGATTTTACAAATTTAATACAACTGATCAATTTTTTTCGTACATAAACCTAGATATATTTTACTTTACAACACCTGGAAATATACACCGAAGACCCAATAATATTCCAGAACACAACCTTTTGGCAACTTTTGTTGTAAAGCTTTTTTGGGGTTATCGTAAATCAAGTAAAATCAATTATCAACAATTTGATTTGTATTGAAACCGTACGTGTCATATTGTTAAGAATTTTGGCAGGTTTACTCCGAACTCCTTTCAAGTGCAGATCAGACGCACTTCATGTTGGGCGGGGTAAATTTAAGTTTTTTTTTGCTTGTATACATAAATACAAAATATTTGCAGGTGTTTAACCTGATTTTATTTGTAGCTCAAAATAGAAAACATTGATTTGCAAAACGTTTACGAAATTGTATGTATGCCTATGAAACTTGAAATGTGTATTGAATATCGTGGGTAAGCATGTCACGATACTGAAATATTCCGATAGTGTGTTACAAATGCAAAGGATTTTATTTTAGGCGCATAGAATATGAGGTTAACTAGGCGTGTAGAGCATGCTCAAATCTACTTACCTACATTTCTATAATTTGGGATAATGTTTATTTAATTTTATATTTATATTAGCTTTGTTCCATCTTAACTATCTTCATTTTATAATGTTTTTTTCCACTACTTGGTTTTGATTACAAAAATTAATAAAATATATGTGTATTTGTGTGTCTGTGTCGTTATTCGAATGACGAATGTTGAAGTTTTTATTTCGTTCTGGTTATTCATGTCAATTCCTAGATTTACTAGGACAAATTATCTTACAGCAAATAGAAGAATAGTTAAAGCTATTTTCGTTTTTGCTCTCTTAAATTTTGCAAGTATTTTTGGCGTAAGAGGACTCATTTTTAGCAACCTTTGCAAAAGTAGTACATAATAGTATTTTATTTCAGGTTTGTGAACACAACAATTATTGTTGTATTGATGAGTTCCTCAAAAAGGAGGATTTACATTTTTGTACCGAAAGTACTTTTATTGATGCAAAATAATAGAGTTCACCTTTAAATTCTTTGCATATTAAGCAATGCTCGTGTGTTTGGATACTCCACAATAAATTCAATACAATAACAATAAATTATATACAAATATATGACAATATATACCGATTTTCAGTAATTAGAAGAATATAGCAATATTTCCTGTTATCCTAATCATAACCGCTAATTTAGCTCTTCTCAATCGATCTGGGCCCTACATTGGCATTTAAAGTTGTAAGGATTTTAGCGACATTTTACAACTTTTCATAACATTGTCCGTACTGTAAGGCAGGGACGTACGCAGGCCGGGCCAGGGGACCCGGCCCCCGCTCATTATTATATCAAATTCCCTTCTGCAGTATACATTCATTATTCCTCTCACAATTTAAATTTAAGTTTGAATGCATCTTCGAAGATTCCAGAAATTCGAAGTCAATTTTCTACTATTTCTAAATTTGCTCATTATTCCGAAAATCTCCAAAAAGGTCTGCTACTTTATGTAGAATATTCTGGAAAATTACAAAAAAAAAACAATATCAAATATAGTGCCATCAAAAATTATACAATTTTCACATAAAGATTTTTACGAAATCATACAATTATATTAGAAAGATTTCCGAAATTGTAAGTAGGAAGTAGAAACTGAAGTAGATCTGTGGATCACTATGTTGAAAGCAAAAGTATCCTGAAATTGTTAAATATACAGTACATGAAAAGTAATGCATTTATATAGTATCGCCTTTTCATAGAAATATTATTTATATTTTATAATAAACATATACGAATTTAACATGTGTGCAAATGATCTATATTAAAATAAATCTTAATCGTCTACTTAAGGAAGAACAAGGTTTTACTTTTTTCATTTCGCACCATCTTGGTGGATAATGTGGACCAGTACGTTAAAAACAGGTTAAGAATCGCATGCGATATATTTCTATTTATTTCAATCTTGGGCAACAATGAATGCAAAAATATATGGAATTTAATTGTACCGACCCATTTGCGGTATTTTGAAGGTCCAAGCGTCATTATCTTCTCCTCACAGAAATGTTTTATTATTGTCGCTCAATTAACCGATATTGAGTTTTTTATATAAAAATAAATAAAAATTCGAACTCACCAAATAAAGATCCAGATAATTTCTGTGTTCGACTCTTGGACAAAAACAAAGTTTAAAATCACACATTTACAAAAGATTATCATATTTGATGTTGTTTTCAGTAATTAGGAAGACGTATGCTTAGTTCAAGACGAATTGTCATATTTCAAGCATTTTCTAAAATTTGGGGGTGGTCCACATTAGACGCATAGTCCACATTACCCGAAGTTACTCTATTATTGAAAAAGACTATTACTAAGAAATATGCAACAACTGTATCGCCAATTCTAATTCCTTGTATTTAAAACAGATATGTATAGGAATACACACATATGTTGGAACAATTCAATTCGTAAGCCTTTCTTTCTACCTTGATAAATTGTGAACTTTGTTTTAAATTAATAAAAAACGATGACTTTAAATACAACACAAACTAATAAAAAATAACATTATCACGACAATTGTAATAAATCAGAGTTGGTTATAATGTGAATTCATAACCAGATTGGTATGTACATAGTAGTACATACTCGTATGTATGTATGTTCATAGGTAGTATCAGTAAAAGTGGAATGGGGATGGTCAAAATAATTGCATTTTAACACAACTGGTTTCAAACATAAAAAAGTAAAATAAAAAACATGCAAATGATATAAAAAATAAGATTGGTTCGCAGTAGAGGATTGTGATGACAGTCATATGTACGTTAATTGGCATTAAGAGCATCATTAACATCGAAATAATAATTATTACATTTGCTATATAGGTGCTGAGAATACCTGGAATTATTCGAGTGCAACCTTTTATACCCTACACAATTCACACATATATATATCTGCTTATATTTGTCGGTTCGCGTCATTGGGTGTTACAATGCGCTTCCCACATTGCTTAACAAAAATCAAAATTGTGTTCTGTTATTGTTAAGATCCGTGAACAGGGGCATTACGTAGACATAGCAACTTTTGATGGATTGCAATTGAATACAATTCTCACATTCGACCACACGACCACACTTGATCTCCATTGGCTGCATGTTTTGGGATTGTTCGACAACAGTAATCAAAAAATCGATTCCGATTCCGTTAACTTAATTTCATTTTGGCAAATTATTATTATAAGGGACGTTTTTTAAATAAATTTAAAACAATATTCTGTCGAATATTTGGAAATATTCCAATTTCGGTATTCAAAGACAAATGAAAGGTTGTTGTTATGTTCACGAACCATTTTCTGTAGGGGTAGCCATTGCCTGGCGGCACAAATGTCGCTCTATGCAGATTAATTGCATTAATAAATGTACAAATGTTAATGTTTTATAAACAATAATTTATGGATGGTTAATACGCGAAAAAATCGTTTATCATTCAAGAGGCATCGACACATCAACTTATCAGATACGACATACGAACACCGATCATTGGAGATTAGTAAAACATTGTATCTGTCACTAAGATTCCGATAATTTGGGTTCTGTCAAAATGGTAAGCATTTTGAAAATAATAGTTTAATTTGAATGGGGATATAGATTCGCTAAATGAATGTAAAATGGCTCAGATTGATTACATCGATAACTGATATAACAATGTATAACTGATATAACAATGTGAAAGCCTTTGTCGAGTACATTAAGACCTCAGAAGAGCATATCGCCGTATGTCAAGTTTTTAAGTTATAGTGTAATGAATTTTTTAATGGTGACCCTTCAATTCGCGAAGAAAAAGTTGTATATTTTTGTTTGCGACAGCTGCAGGTTTTTTTTTTTTTTTTTTGATACGTTATGTCTTCTGTCCAATCGGATGACACCAGACCATGAGCATTTTATGTGCCCATGGTATGTGTCAGTTTTATAATTGATCCAGATTGCTCATTAGTTTCTTTTTAGTCAGTTTTTTTTTTTTCAAAAAATGCTAAAAAAAATCTAAAATATTTTAGAACCATGTCAGAAAAATTGTAAAAAAAAATAATAGTTTTTTTAAAAATTTGCGAATCAAATTGGACAAGACCTTTCTGTGAAAAATTAAAAAATTTACATTCTATGAGGTATACATTTAGTCTAAGGACATAGGACGAAGAAGTTGACAGAGAATTCAAGTGGAGTGGTGGACATTAAAATTGATACTAATTATATATATTGATGTATGCACTCCGATGATGTGCAATAGCTATGCATAAATATTTACAGGCAAGATTTATTCATAAGGTTAACACGAAGGCGAATTTGAAGTCTTTAATTCATGTGAAATTTAATGTTTGAATCATAAATAAACAAAATATATTTTTATTTAAACCAAAATATATTAGGTTGGGGAAAAAGAAATCTACTCTTTTTTGGCAGATGGCTGCAACGATAGATTTTTTGTAAAGTATCGATCAACAATTTCAGATTTATGCTCGTAAGAACATTTTGAAGTTAAAAAAAATTTCGATAAAATCGGAGAAATGATCGAAGTTGACCGGCATATTAGCAGTCGTAAAATTCCCAGGAGCTAAAAATCGACAATTAAACTGTTTTAAAGCATCGACCAGGATTGGCCAAAAGGAGATGTGTCGTGTTCCACCAGGATAACGCTAGGCCATACACATCTACAGCGACTTGCCAGAAACTTCGGAAGCTTGGTTTGGAAGTTTTAATACATCCGTCATACAGTCCAGACTTGGCACTAAGCGATTATCATATTTTTCTTGCATTGTGAAAATCGACTACTAGAGTTTTTTACAAATAATTAAGAATATGTTTTCATCCATTTTGTGTATTTGGGTAATACGGACGTTCAAGAAACCCTGTAAAGGTGAGAAGGTGGGTATTTTAGTAAGCAACGCACTGAATCTAATACCAAAAATTTTAACAAATGCCAGAAAGGAATTAAAAATACAAAAAAAAAATGCAAGTACGACAATGTATGGCTTTCTTTTGAAAGGCAGTCATCGATTATCTTTGTATTTTTATACCGTACACAGTAGTGTTGTGAGGGTATTATATGTATGTGTCAGCAGTTAACGGTGATGATCCGACATTTTGGTAATGATCCGACTACAGAACATAATTACGTCATTGTATAAGTCTGTCAAATCTTAAACTTTATTCTATGACATATTTGTTAAATGGGCGATGTCCGCCCGTTTGATGGATTCTAGCTAAATTCCGAAGAAATTGAGAAACAAAGTTCGAAATTGTACCCTATCGGCTGTCATTATTTATTTATTGATACAAATCTAGCACATTGAGAATAATAAAATACTTATAAAGTAGTGCTAGTGGTACATTGAATATTTCAAGATTCTATAATGATTTGACATCGATTTTGAAGGATTTAGAGAAATTTACTAACAGAATTGGGCATATATTTTATTAATAATACTCGGCCTTCTGGTTGCAATTTTACAGAAAGACATTTTGCTGGTTTTTTGAATAAGTTGTTTTCCTATCTTTATAAACAGTGTATTACGATTTGAAACTGCTATTTATCATTTTGAATTAGTGAACTACAAATTATTTCTATAGGATGACGTAATAAAAAACTTCTCAATTTAAACTATTTTTCTTGGTTTAGTTACTAATAAAAATCTGCTCAATTTGAACAAACATCCTGCCAGAAACGCCGTAGATAAAGCTATCATGTTTTTACGTCCGGTGTTAGCTATAATAAATTCTAACGATACGACATTATGAAAACGGAACTTACCACCTATCACGCGATATTTCCCAAAAAAAAAATCTTACCTGAAATTACACAAAAAAAAAAAAAAAAACAATATGAAATATGACAAATGATAATAACAATTAAAAAATATATAAAATATGGAAATATAAACATATGTATGTATACTTAATTGCACAACAATAACAACGAGCAAATTTGAGCAGAACCTACTTTGTGATTTGACCTTGTCCATCGAAACATGCGATATTAATACCAAGATGTCGCTTGTAGTGGAAGTCGCTACGGTACAATAATGAATTTATACATGATTCCAGATTTATCAAAGCGCCGCGGCGATGAGGACGACGTTTACGTGTACAGATCTTCATTTGACGACAACGAAACAACAAAGTTGCACAGCCCCGTCGTTGCTTCATTCATCGCAAAATAATCTACCCAAATAATCTCCGGCAGCGTATTGCGAAGGCCAACTGCCACATTGAAGTCGTGAGGGTGACGACGTAGCCGAAAATTGCATCATAACTTCAAAGCGCTGAGAATCACATAATTACAATTCGTTAAAAAACATTGGTATTAGAAGAATATTCATTTAGAATGGATTCTCACAAACATCTTGGCTCAGCAAAAGAAGATGCATTAAAATGCCGAGTAACGGTTGCCATCAATTAATACTAACTGTGTCCTATTTTAGTTTCTTTTTCAATTAAAAAATTAATTTGGTTTTCATTTGGAATCACAATCCACTGACTTCTGTTAGAATGGATCAAAGTTCATATCTGGAAGTTTCATTTGTAATATAGATGTTAAAGAATCAGTCTGTACTATCTCAATTGAAATGTGAAGAAAGTTCTATTCAGATATACAGTCGTGTAGATTTTCAGCGAACACTTTTTCTGTCCGGGTTCACTTTGTTATTGCCAGACGTAATTCAGTTGTAGACAATTTTTAATAATGGAGGCGACAAACTGTACCCCTATTCCGTAATTTTTAGAACCTGTTGTTTTTGTTTAATCACACATGTAATTGTAACAACAACAAAAGAGACAAATCAAAAATTACAATGTCGATAACACTGTACCGCCCTAAAATCTTGAATCAATCGGGACCGCCACCTCTAGCTGGGCTTTGAATTATTAGCTAAGATTTTTATTTTAAATTTGTCGATTTGGGGTGGATTTTCAAATAATACGTAATGTCCTACCACTTAATAAGATCTACAATTTTTTTTTGATGGCATGATACTCAAATTGCCACAACTATCAAAAAGCATATCTTCCTGTCATATATGCTTAACACAAAAAATACATTTCTATACATTGTTTCTAATCTTATTACACAAATCTTAAATGAAATAAAATTTGAAATTTATAATGTAAATTTACAGTAATATATATATACAATTGTCTATTCTTTTAGATTGTCGGGAGAACGTACGTTCAAAAAGAGCAAAGAGACCTCGAGCTCCCGCTGCAATACTGTTTGAACCAGAACCCCCACAAGATTTGGAAAGCGACGATAACGGAAATCCCGAAAAAGATATACCCGAAATACCTACGAATTTTTTAAGTCCATCAGTACGAGAATATCTGGAGCTGGGCAAATCAATACCAGGTAAGCAGAAACTTATTTCCCATTTTGTGATATAACTTCAGTAGTTGCTCCAGCTTTTCATTACCAGATCTCATATTTGTTATTTATTTAGTTAAATTTATTCTTGTAAACCCCATTCCAAATTCAATTGGATGGAACATTTTTGATGTCTCTTTTCCTGCCAAAAATATTGAACATCTACATAAGTACTTTAGGAGAGACAATTTATCATGGCTTTATAATAACAAAATAAACAATGGCCGCAGCAAACATAGTTCTAATTATATATCTTTACGTGTTTTTATTAATTTTTTATGTTATGTTTGTTTCTGGACAGGGATGGCTGGCTCAGGGACATTCTAGCAAGTTTTATTTCTTTTTTATTGACGTCGAAATCAATTGAAAAGTAAAACAAATACAGACGCAGTATTGCTAATTGACTGCAAAATTTGCCCTTAGGCAGGCATATTTTTGCAAGTATTTGGTATTTTGCAAACGTACGACCGACGGTACTTGTTGCTCGTACATCTCCATATGCAAGAAATTGAAAATTTACTAGCATCGTGTCATGCACACACACACATTCTGAGTCCCATTTATAGCCACAAAATTGGTGCATATTTTTTGTTACCGTCTTGTCGTCGTTAATGTTGTGCGCCAAAAAAACCGCCCGCTTGTCCAATAGCACTTGGGGCTGATGCTGTAGCAGCGATTCATTTTCATTTGTTTCGACGGACGGACGGATGCCAGTAAATGAATGCATTTTTCATAGAGTCTCATAAAAAATACAAACATTTTTTACGGCCGAATTTTAAAGTGCATCCTCTCGTAAATTCATTTATTAATAGAAAACACACTCTGTGGTACGGACGGTGGTCTCAGTCAAGGCTGGCACGGGGGGGGGTTGTTTGGTGCTGCGGGATACCGGCTGGCGCTGATTGTTTCTTTGTCCACTCCAGTAGAAGCGACAAATGAACGGACACTATTGCTGCCCATAGTCATAATATTGGTGTTGTTGTTGTTTTTGCATTCGATTGAATTTTGTTTCATCTGGTCTGTTTCGGTCAAATTACGTGGATTTCGACAATCCAAATGCATTTGACACTTTTATGCATCGCCAACAAATTGGGTTTTATTAGTATGAGCTACATATGCCATTGCTGTTGTTGCTTTCCTGTCATTCGTATCTATTGATAAAGCATTTTTTCTCTCTTTTAAATACATGGCGAATAAGAATCAGATATATGCGTGAAAATGTTAGTGAATTGTGTATTTGTCAACTGTAAAAGTCACTTCTTTAAATGCTGACTACAGAATATTTAAAATTATGGAATAGAAATTACAAGAACAGTTATTATTCTTTTATTTGATTTTAGGACGTCCAGGTGTGGATTATCCCATATTATCGGCAATTCCATATACAAACTTCTACTGTGATGAACAACCATATCCAGGATTTTTTGCAGATATGGAGACCAGATGTCAAGGTAAGCTTTCCACAAATATTGCCAACTTTCAATAAAGAGGATAAATATGACGTTTGGTATCTTTAAAGTTTGTTTGGACAGCATGTTTGGAAACATGCTTCAACCTTGAAGCATGTCGACCTGACATCCAAAATTTTTCGGACTATTTTTCGACCATATGCATTACGCGGTTTGTTTAAAAAGTATCGCGAATTGTTTTGGTTCTCTTACCCCTGTATTGATAACACGTTTGCCTATTTCCAATATTAATGAAACACCTTCATTAGAAATACGAAATGTAATATGTTTTGTAATCAATTTTGTTGCATATTCCGAAATTTTGCAATAAAGGACATAACAACTTTGTTAACGTTATCATAAAAACGCTGTGGCAAATGTGGCAGTGTTTGTCACGTAATTACGACTCTTTGGACTGCTAAATAGTTTTAAACCTGAATACTTCAATATTTTTCACTGTAAATAATTTTGTTAATAAACGATTTGAAAGAAATTCAACAGTATTAGTATCTCCTGTCATATATTTATCTAAATATGTTCGGAAATCCTTTGGAAGGAGTCATCCGACGTGGCCTGATGAGAACTTTTGCAGTCACCCGAATACGGGTGACACGGCAGTTAATGTGTTATACTTCTTTGCAGAACTTTAGGAGTACTATCAGTGATAAAAATTAAGAGCCTCCGGTTTTTAACTTTTGGGATAAAAGCCAAAAAATCGGTAACTCACGCGGCTTCAAATATACCTTTACAAATATATACAAATATACTTTAGACATCATTGCTAATAATGGGAAAATCTGCGAATTGTGTGAATATTTTGAACTTACTTCACGTATTTAAGCGCAATTAATGAAACAAATTCTTCGACTTTGGTTTACCTTTTGCCGAAAATGTCCATATCTATTCTACTTTTTATATTGATCTATATAATAATATATAACTTACTAGCTGACCCGGCAAACGTTGTTTTGCCTTATCAATATTGCGTCAATATAAGGTTGGTAAAAAACATTTGCCACTAAGTTTATGTCAATAAAAAGTATTAACTGGTACCCCAAGCACATAAAAGTTTATAATTTGGTAGAACTCATTCCACCAAATGTTTTTTTCAATAGAAGATCATGTTTTTTTATTGCTCCAACGTTTCAACATTATCTTTTTTGTCCCTTCTTGAAGGATTCTTAATTACAATATCATTTTGTTCATGTCCAACTGTCCTTTTGATTTTTATATTGAAATCAGTATATAACTCGACACATTTTTTAACAACTTGATTTTAATTTAACATTTGAATAAGTTGTTGTTTAAGGTTACATAGGTCCACATCGAAATTTCAAGTTGTCGGCTAAAAAAAGAAACATTGACAAAAAATCTCACAATTAGTTTGCATATTTTCCTATTCTGACCACATACGATTTATAAGTCCTTTGAATCGTCAAAATCGGTGTAGACGTTCTAGATTTATAAACGATGTAACTAACACAATTATTCCAATTTTCCGACTTTTTGATGATTTTCTCAACATTTTCTTCGTAAAAAACTTCCCAATGTAATTAAAAACAGCCGAAGGAAAACGTGAGTGAAATCGGTATAGTCAATATACAATATTATTCACATCTTTAAAAATACATTTGAAGAACTACAAAGGCACAGAAAAGTTAGACACAATCATCATGTAATGCGGAATATTCTTCCCGAATATAAGAAAATGTTTAATAATACCTTAGTATTTTGTTGACGTATTTATAATCGTATATAGCGAATTACTAACATCATTCAACTGTATTGAATATTTTGATAGACGTTTTCGTTTTTACTAAAACATAAAAACATATGTCTATGTATTGGCAATTTTTTCAAAAATATTCCTGGTGTTGTTTCCTGTCAAAGACACGATCAAGTTTCGGTCAGTGGCCCAGTTATCACATGGGATATGTGTTGTATTTATAAGTTCAAAACAATTTGTTCCATTATTGTGCGCTTTTAAGCATCCTTATCCTAAAGTGCTTGGAAGGTAGTAACAAAATATCCAAAATATCCCCCTATGGGGAATAACGAATTAAGGGCATAATTGCCGGTAGAGTTTTTGGTATAGGCTCCACATAATGGAACCGCTTACCATGTCTTACTGTGTTTTATTTGGGAAAAATTCACAACCTATACATACCATGCAAAATTCTTCACATAAAATAACTTATACTTTCCAACTAAATAAATCTTTATTTTATGCAAAATGTGAGCAAATAACGATAGCGATTAATCTTACTCCCTCTTTTCGATTTCTTATTATTAAATTTAACTCTAATGAAAATATAAATTTATTTTCATATACAACAGTTTTTTCAAGGCAATGGCAATCCAATTAATGGTAGAAATTTAACGTATTTTGAGAATTTTTTATAATTGACAATTACTTAAAAATATACGCTGCCCATTTTCGCCCAAAATATCTTCAAAAAGAACTACGAAGAGATGAAATCATAAAGGTTTGATATAAAATGTGTGGAAATGCTAATATCTTTCAAAATATATTTTGCAACATTTCCGCGGATTTTAAACCTTTCCACGACAATTACAGACTACTAACAGAAACTTTAAGTCAAATCGGTCCTGCCGTTTCTTCTTTAAAATAATTTTTGCAAGATTTTCGCGGATTTTTCTCAAAAATCTCTTTCATAAAAACCTTCCCACTGTAATTACCGACAACTGAAAAAAATTTGAGTCAAATCGGTCCAGCCGTTCTCAATTGATACATTTTCCTTGCTCCATTGTTATATATAAATATATATAGATTTATGAACAATTAATGAATTGTTTTATATAAAGGCACTCACATATACAATATTACTGAAACATGTAAAACAAAAACTCAATTTTTTTTTTAATTTTCATTACAGGATGGCATTATTGCGATATTGATGGACGTCAGGCGTCATTCTTGTGCCCAAACGGAACACAATTCTCGCAAGCCGTTTTCGTTTGTGACTGGTGGTTCAACGTACGCTGCGACTTATCGCCCAGACTCTACGCGATCAACGCTCGTCTGTATCAACGTCCGAAGGTAAATCCAACACGGCCACATCGAATAATAACAAAAGAATTGATTGAGGACATCTTCAATTAATCGTAAAAAATAACCAGCGAATTACTATAAACACAATCTCATTCTCAATCTATATTTCTCTCTCTCGCTCTCACCTGCCTACGTATAACGCTCTCATTTACCGCTACGGTGCTTACATATATTTTTCGTTTAAGTGCAATTTAAAATGTTACATTAGTTTCAGTATTATTAAGATGTCTTCTTATATTTCTTATTTTTTTATGAAAAATCAGTGCTGCTCTGAACATTTGCATCTGACCCTGCATTTCAGGAGTACAATGGTATCATTTTGAGTATTTATATTCAAATTTAAGTTTATACAATTATTGTAAACGTATTCTCTTTCAAATGCACATCAATTTGTTTTATTGCTCAAAACATTTACAACTATAGATTTTTAAAAACAATTGAAGTGATTTTCGTCGAAATTAAAATTTCTTACTTGAAAATTAAAAAAAATGGTTTGTAATAACATTTTTTAATAAAATAGTTTACAATAATAAAATAGTTTACCAATAAGGTTGTGTAGTTAATTTTTCAAATATTCCAAATTTAAATATTAATTTTAATAATTTTTGAATAATCATTAACTCCAATGAGGAAAATATTAATTTTAAAGCAATTTTCCCCAAATTTTGTTAGTTACGAATGTTTTAAGCAGTACTGTTACTGTACAGTTTTAAATATTATATATTACAAAAAAAAAAAAAAAAAAAATATGAGCATAAAATAATGTGTAAAAAACTAAACCATTACCACAACTTTGAAATTAAGTAATCAGGCAAATATATATTATTACTATTTTTGTTTGCAAATTCCACAAATATTTAGTTGTTTTTTTTAAGTATACAATACTTTGACATTCAAAGTGAAACAGTGAATATATTTCTTTTTTCTCATTGTAAATATAAATAAATAAAGTAAAAAACACTAATATCCGTTAAAAAGTATTGTTCGTGTATATTTATGTAAACTCATGTAAATAATAAAAAACGAAGTTACATTTTCCCTTTTTCCTAACGATTTGTCTTATTTTATTCATGCCACATCACACTTGTGTAGGTTAATCATGTTTTTTATATTTTTTTAAACGACTACACATATTAACAATGATTCTACTTTATTATTGTTAAGATTTTTATAAAAATCAAAAAAAAAAATCCAAAATGTGAGTTTCAAAAATTGAGAGGAATTTTTTTATTAGCTCAGGGTTAAGACTTAACATCTGTACTGAAATTTGTTTAAAAATTTACCTTTTTAATGTCCAAATATTTTGGAAATGTTCTATGTTAGATTAGGACACACAGCTAAATTCTGCAGTTCAACTCAGGACCCTTAAAATATTTTGAAAATGACAGTATTTTTATAAAATAATGTTTTCTGGACAGACTAATCAATCCGTTGAAGAATAATATAAACAGCAGGTGCCGATGGGTTACCACCCGAACCATTCAAGACTGGTAGTCAGATGCTGGTCAGGAGCATGCACCAGCTGGCTAGAGGAATGCATGCCCAATGATTTCATAGCATATAAAATTCTATCCAGTGTGCTGTGTGAACGACTGAATCCAATGGTCAATGACATTATAGGACCACAGCATTCGACAGCCTTATCCGTTTGCGTTCGGCATTCCTGCAAAATTAATTCGGCTAGGCAGGATAACTTTAAGTGGCACAAGGTCAGTAGTGAAAGTAGCAAAGGACCTCTCGGAGCCCTTTAGTACCGAACGAGGATTCAGGCAAGCTGACAGTTTGTCTTGTGACCTTTTTAACATCCTGCTGGAAAAGGTCATACGAGAGGCAAAGGACATAAGCAACAGTCTTGCTACTATGGTCTAAGTAAGCAGTTTTGAAACAAGGCCACCTCCCGCCAGACCAAACTCACACTCTACAAGACGATGATACTACCCGTGCTGTTATATGGATCTGAAGCATGGCTACTTACGCAAGCAGGCGATGTAGCTCTTGGAGTGTTTGAGAGAAAAATTCTCCGAAAGATTCATGGACCGATCTCCATTGACGGTGAATATCGCCGTCGCATGAACCATGAGTTGTACGAGCTATTCTCTAAATTTAAAATTTAGAGAATAGCTAAAAATTTGACTTAAATTTTTTTTAACACTAAGATGGTGCGAAATTAACAAAAGTTCTTCCTTAATACAATGTTCTTTTTCTTTTGGTTCTTCCTTAAATACAATGTGAGTAGATGGTTATTTTAATATAGATTATTTGTAGAGAAACTTCTTTCAGCTGTGTTTACCGGCATAGTTATTAAGTTTTGTAACAAATATATTTATATTTGGAAACAGAATTCCGTCAAATACTACAATCGCATCATTGGATTAGATGGTCGGGGATCATCGTTCGCTTTCCACATAGTGATCCACAGATCCACTTTCATATATTTTATTCATATTTTTTGAACTCATTACATTTAACTCTACTTTTGCGTATCAAATAACTATTTTTCAGTTTAAATGCCTAACACGGTATATATATATATATATATATATATAATTATTGTTGAACCAGACGTCCGTCAACATAAATTTGGAACTACAACAACACAACGAGTCAGAAAGAAAATAAACAACGGGCAAAGAAAGAAAGCGAAGATTCTCAACGACAAGCGCCGGACATGATGAGTCGAGTTTTAACGGTGTTAGAACGAATTGCCACTGCACTGACGGTTGTACCAGTGCAAGGGGGCCGGCATGTTGGGAATCGGCCCAACCCGATGGATGACGACATCGATATGGACCTCATCGACCTAGATAAATAATTTATCGATGAGGTCCCATCTCCACCGATACAAACAATTACTCTTCTTCTTGAAGTTGAAAAGTGTGGATCGCCAAGATCAAATATAAAACCAAAACAAATATCATTTTTAACAAATATAAATTTTAAATAAATAAAAGACCGCCAGAGTCTACATTTGAAGTTAAAATTTATTTGAAGTGTTTAATTTGCAGTCAATCAAACGTAAGTATCGTCTGAATGAATACTCGTTGTGTTATTGTAGTTGCAAATTTATATTGTTGTCCGTCTGGTTCAACAATAATCTTAGATTCTAAAACTACTCAGTAGAATTAGAATCACTACAAGTCCTTTCGACTGTATCGGAACTTGTACAGTGACTATGGATATTACAACTTATATTTATGGCTTACAGATAGCTTACATGAGACTACCTTGAATACCTACTATTCAAAATAAGTTACTCAGGCATGGTACTCTGTTGTGTAAGAAAAAAGTGGCAAGCAGCTTTTCTAAGATTGACATTTATATTCGCCTAAAGGTATGCAATCGTTCTTAACTCTTTGTTTCTTCATTACGGCAAGAATACTTTGCGACATAATCCATTCCATTTGTATATGTTGAGTAAACTAGCCAGCCGCCACGATATGTACAATACACATTTATAATAAAAACAACATCAACAACACGAACGTATGACATAAATACAAACCATATTTTCAAGCATAAACGATTTATTTTCGATGGACACGTAGGAAGTTAGACGCAAAAGACGTAGCATTTCGATTCGATTGGTTTAGTAAGCGGCTCAATGGTCTAGGGGTATGATTCTCGCTTTGGGTGCGAGAGGTCCCGGGTTCAAATCCCGGTTGAGCCCATTTATTTATTTTTTGGCATTTTAATAAAATATTTTTTGTGTTATATTGGAAAAAAAATATTTTTTGTGTTATATTGAAAAATTTTAATTGAATAACTTCAGTAGTGTTGACGGTCTATTTGCGATACCATTTGTATTTTGGTTTTTGCAAAATAGTGAGGCTGAATTTTTTATTAGTGGGGGGGAGTATGGCATTGTCCACCAAGGGAAACAAAGAAGTAATTGAATAACTATTTTTTAATGTATGAGATTTCCCTTTAATTCAAGAAAAAAAATACTACATGATATTTCAGAACCGGTTTTGAACCGGTTTTGAATAATTCATCTTCCTTCGACACACTGTCCAATTGTTACATATATGAAACATTTTGATAAATGATCGTTGCGTTTACACTAAATGAGTTGATAGAGATCGCAATATTTTATATAGAGGAAATTTTGACTGAATGGGTAGTTATATTACCAAGACTGCAATTACTTGAGGGGACCCCTCTTCTCGGTTTCAAAAAAATTTTGATTTTATTGTAACCTACAATAATTCATGAATGTCCTCGGTTTCAAAAAAATTTTTGATTTTATTGTAACCTACACTAATTCATGAATGTCCCTACAAAAAATCAAGTGAGAATCTGAAGAACTCTTGAAAATATGGCCGATTTATTGTGTCAGCATCATGTGACGGCAAGAGTGATTCTCAAAATATAAACGCTTTTTTTGAAAAAAGTTTTTTACGAATGGCGGGACCGAAACTCAAAAACTAATAATAAAATCGGTTCCAAATTTTGAATCGTATCTCTGTGTATAGCTATCGTATGAGCTAGTATAAACCTAATCGGTGAAGATCTTCCTTATTTTTAACTTATTTTGGGGTCCAAAATAAGGGAATTTTCAAAAAAATGTTCAAAGGTCAGCGATTTTGTTAATTTTTGAGTCAAGCCCCCCCACTCAAGAATGCCCCTACAAAATTTGAAGTCAAAATCTCAAGAACTCTTGAAAATATAGCCGATTTATTGTGTCAGCATCAGGTGACGGCTAAAGGGCTTAAACGCGTTTTTCTCTAAACATTTTTTTGCGAATGGCGGGCACGATAACTCAAAAACTAAGAATCCAATCGATTCCAAATTTTTACACGTTTCTCTGTGAGTGTATAGCTATCGTATGAACTAGGATAAAGTCAATCGGTGAAGATCTTCCTTATTTTTTCCAAAAATATTTTTTCAAAGGTCCGCCATTTTGTTAATTTTGGAGCGAAGTCAATAATCCTCGTTCATACGAGAGCCAGACATGTACTCTTTCTAACACCGTTGGAATTTTCGGGTTCCGATGTTCCAGTGAGGAGTTATCATGCCCGCCATCAAAAATAAGGACTTTTTTTAATTACAAA